TGCCCAAATACGTATCATGTTTACTTGATACAATATATCCATTTTGACGCTGCTCATGGACCATGTCTACTGCGTGCTTCTCTAGAATCGGCCAGTGTGCAGTGCCTCTTCTCATTGCACATTTATTCCTGGGCATACTTCGTAGCAAGTGTTCCTTTGAATTCCAATCCCGCACCATCTTCTCAGTTACACCGTATTCTCTTGAAGCAGCACAATTGTTGTGTGACTGGGCATATGCTATCACTTTCAGCTTAAAACAAGCTTCATATCTCCTGCGTTTAACAATTGGAGCCATGGTGAGGTTTTATGGTAGCTGGATATTAATATACCGGAGTGTTCACATGGAGAGAGTGCTATTGCTTATGGAGTGATAACTCAACAACTGGACAAGGCAAATGAGAGAAGGGGTATCACGTTTGGGGATAGATAACATGACCTGACGTGGTCACCTTACACATATATGGTAATCATTAAGAATCAAACTCCGAATCAGATGACCTGACTTCTTCTTCATCATTGCCATCCTAAATTTACCACTGTCGGTAGTTTCAAGAATTAAAAGAGTCATTTACTGAATATTCTATGTAAAAAATAATAATTTTAAATTAATTATTTATAGGAGATAAGTATTATGATCAGTAAATATATGGTATTCCTGGCCACTTCAGACACAAAGATGGGATAAAAATAGCCCATCTCCCCCTCTTACAGCTGCCAATGGGAAGCGTCTTGGTAATTAAATTTGATGTTTATTTTCATTGTTTGTCTAATTTATCATGTATCAAAGTAATATTACTAAAAATTGTGTAGGTAGTAGGCAGCTACCAAACAGGTAGATACTACCGCCGGGGAAGATATTGGAAGCATAATGTGTTGTCTAATGGTAGACCCTGCTGCCACATGGCTTCACGAAAATTGTGACCAAGTCCCAGGTTGCTGACCTGACTTTCTGCCTCATTTACACACAATTGCAGTTTCAATTGTTCCGCTTACTTTGACAACACAACATACATACAGTATATTAGTTCTCACTTTTGATCTTTTTTTTTAATTTTTGTATTTATTTATGGTTATATACTTAAAATAAGGCCAATTCACTTCAAGTAATGGCATCAAATGTTACCGGCTGGTGTAGTGTAAACACTAGTGACGTCACTTAAGCGTCTGTATTTAACTGTCGGTAATTTCAAGAATTAATGCAATCATTTACTGAATATTCTTTGTAAAAAAATTAATTTTAAATTAATTATTTATAGGAGATAAGTATTATTATCAGTAAATATACCGATATGCATTACTGACCACCTCAACGGCTAAAAATAGCCCAATCTCGCGGTCACTTTCCCTTTCTTGTCTCCTCACTGGCAAATGGGGGGGGGGCCGTGGGGAGGGGTGTGTGATGATAGCTGTGTTTATTACAGGGGTATAATTCTCTTTTACGGTATGTTAGACAGGTTTATAATACATTTTTATTATTTTAATATACCGGTAATCTTAATTTGAATCCAGCTTGCCAAACGTAAGTTTCAGTATAAAATAATTAGTGGTGACTTTGTGGAGTGGCTTGGTGAAACCATCCATCTGGCACTAAACCACAATATTTAGAGGTAAGAAATTTATTCTGGTGATTAAAACTGACCCTAACTTTAGGCAGATTTTTTAATGTTTAAATTCCATCTTATAAGCCGAGATATCACGGTAGTTAAGTCATGATTGATGTTCCACCCTTCCATTCCCTCTCGATTTGGCGGTCCCGCGAAAACCAAACCCAATGCTCTGCCAGCTACCAAAAACAAGCTACATACTGTCAGGGGTCTGGTGTGACCTTAAGTTAGAGTAGATTTAAGTTATCCTTAAGTTAGTGACCCCCAGAATGGAGCAGTATACTACACTTGATAAGTACAGTACTGGTAACAGGGATCAAATGTTGATGTAGGATGAAGAGCTAGTCTTGAATTTAGGTAAGTGAAGTATATTATTTGTGATTGCAAGTGGTGTTATAGATGAGATGGGATTAGTGACAATAAAATACCTAAAAAATGTGAGATGGGTGAGAAGGCAAGAGTTGTGGGGATATTTAATTTGTTAGAAATACAATGAGTGGTTAGAATATACAGTAGACTGCATAGATAAGAAAACAGTTACGGTAGACCTCACTTTACGCGGTTAATTCAACCCACGGCGGCCCGCGTAAAGTGAACAACATAACATATGGGATTAATTGAAATAGAGACCGGGCTGACCCCCAAACTCCACTTTTTCCCGACACAATACGTACGTTTTACTAAAAATAACATCTTAACTTTATGATGGTATTCACCCACACATAATATAGAAGGGAACAATCAATAAGAGAATAATAAACTGAAGGTTAGGTTAGAAAAAAACAAGGTTGGGGTTAACACTTACGTTAGTAGAAGAGATGGGTCGGCGTAGGGGAATGGAGGCTGGTTCCGAGGCAGAGGGCAGGCTACTGGCCCTCAGGTGAGTCTTCATCGGTGTCATCCACACTTACTAGTGCCTCCCTGACAAATCCCTCAAAGTCATCATCACTGTCTCTGTCACTATCACTGGCTTGGGCTGGCTGTGGTGGGTTGCGGGCGAAGAACTCTGTTATGCTTTGCTGACGGCTGGTGTTTATGTTGTCGTGATAAACCTTGATGTAGGGCTCCATAGTCTGCAACAGCTGGGTAGTGAAGATTTCATACCTGTTAGCGTCAGGGTCGTCGGAAAGGAGGAGCTTGACTTTCTCAATACACTCGATGGCACCCTTTACATTACTATGGGATAAGCGGCGTTCTTCTTGGGATGACGCACCACCTGCCTCTTCACTGACGTCATCATCATCTACCATCTCGTCGGTAGTCACATCAGGATCCCTTATCACCTCCAGGATGTCGTCGTTGGTGGTCTCGGAGAAGCCTGCAGCTGTAACACTCTGCGCAGCTTCTCTAGCAAGGTCCACTGCTACTGCAACAGTCTGAACCTCACCAGTCACAGATTTACTCTGCCTAACACCCGGAATACCTTGCAACACATGTCTCCATGCGTGACGAACAGTTGCTACAGACAGCTGATCCCATGCCTCCACCAAGAAATCCACAGCTTTCTTGACGTTGAATGTTCTCCAGAATTGTTTCAAAAGTACTTCTTGCTCTGCCAACTGTTGATCCTCGTCGTCTTCGCTCTTGCTATCAGTGTTGGTGTCACTCAGGTTACGCAACTCTTCTATGGTGTTGGTGTTGTCGTTCAGGAGCTTGAATTTTTTAGCAAAGAATGCAGCTTTTACATTACAGATCAATTCTTGGTCCATGGGCTGTATTATAGACGTAGTGTTGGGAGGAAGGAAGACCACTTTTACATTGGGGTAACGATCTAATAGTAGGGGCGAGTGTCCTGGTGCGTTGTCAAGCAGCAACAAAATCTTGAATGGCACATTCTGTTGCTCACAGAATTTCTTCACATCGGGAACGAAACAGTCATCAAACCAGGAGAGGGACAGAGTAGAGAACATCCACGCCTTACGTGCGGTCAGCCAGTGGACATTTAGCTTGGTCATGTCCATGCTCTTTGTAGGAGTGCGGCTTGCGTGCTGTGTGGATCACCGATAACTTGAGCTTACAGGTACCGGAGGCATTGGTGGTAAACAGGACGGTGATGCGCTCCTTCTGCAACTTCCGGCCCCGACACTTGCTGGCATTCTTCACAACGAAGGTCTTGGAAGGTTGCTTTTTCCAAAAAAGACCAGATTCGTCCATGTTAAACACCTGGTCGTCGGTGTACTGTCCTTCCTCCATAATCTCACGTAAAAACGGAGGAAATTCCCTAGCCGCAACATGGTCAGCACTAGCTTCTTCACCACCAATGTTGATATTGGTGATTTTGTTCCTCTTCTTAAACCTCTGTAACCACCCAGAGGAAGCATTAAAGGGTTTGGGCTCTGTAATTCCCATCTTTCGTGACACTGCAGCATACAGTTCACGTGCATACTCCTTAACAGAGTGCGTGTCCACCGCCATTTTCCGTCGCGCCTGACGCACCAAGTAGCTCACAAGTAATTTTTCCGTCTTGAGAAGCACCTGGTTGTGGAAATACTTGATCATAGAAGCACCTGTAGACTTTGTGATGTTCATGTGCTCCTTTATCTTGGCTGCATCCTTCTTAATTGTCCTGATAGTTGATTCGTTAACACCATGCTGGCGCGCGAGATCAACCTGTCTTGTTCCTTTTTCCAACTCTTTTATGATCTTATATTTAATTTCGTAGCTTAAGGAACGTCTTGTCTTCTTTGGCTTAGGGCGGCTGGGTCCAGGTAATGCAAGGTTTCTTTGTGGTGGTGGTGGTGGTCCGGTGGAAGCCAATCTTATGGAACAATGGATACCGATATACACGGTGTAGCCAGGAGGGGTGTAACTGACGCGGTAGGTCAAGGGGCTTGAACGCTCCCGCGGCGGGGCAAGTCATAGTACTACATTAAACCAATCACAGCTAGCAAGTAGGGAGGTAAGGATGCTTTGCCCAATCACAGTCCGCTACGTCATATGACGTCACCGATAACGCAACAAAGACATACACTGCGCAACTTACTCGCGCCGCTTACACAACATGGCAGAGGGCGGGAGGTTTGGATCCAAAAATGGCGCGGCGCGAGAGGACCGCCAGCTGCTCTCCACGTAAAGGGGTACACACACCGCGGAAAGTGAGCATTCCGTGTTCGGCAGGGTACTGCGTAAACGTGGAAACGCGTAAAGCGAGGGTTGACTGTATAGAATTTTAGAGATAGAGTACAGGAGTGAGGTCATATGGACCAGAAAAATGAGATATCAACCATATTTCAAGAAAGGGAAAGTGGTGGCGTGTAAATGGGAATAGTCATGTGAAAACACCGAATCGGTTTAAGAATGTATGCTGTGATAGTAAGTAGACCTGGAGGTTAATGTCATGACTAATTTCCCAAAGGGAATTTTAAATTAGAATAAGGTATCAGAAATATAGTAAGATAGATTTAAAAATGTATTGTAAAATATGTACACACGAGCCACATTTTGTGATCTAAATGTAATACATAATGGACACTTTGTCTCGGCTGAAGCTTATCATTTTGTAATTCAATGAACACTGGTGAGCCTCCAGGTAGTGGAACTTATGTTCTCCTCATCTACAAATGTTTCTTGTCCACACCAGTGACTGCCACAGAAGTATCTTGGCCATCTCGTAATTTCATTATGAATTTCAGTGGAATGCGCTTCATGGCCCTGAAAAACACATCACCAATTATAAGATATTAAGTACATGGAAGATATGGTAAAATGGAATATGATGGGAAGGTAAGGGCATAATAAGAAAAAGAAAGGAGTATTAATGGTGGGGAACAAAGCATACGAAAGAAGAAAACTATTATGGGCAAGGAAAGGATCAAGAATTTATCATCTTGACTGCAATCACCGACTTGCCTGTTTGTTGAAAATGACCATGTCCTTTCCACACATTATCTAAATGAAATAAAGCTAAAATCATTAAACATGGGCGTAAATTATAAATAAAAGTCACTGAGATGCAAATCTCGGTATATTAACAATTACTGAGTAAACATGAGTGTATGTAAATGACGAGTTGGCTCAACCGTTTATGTCACGACATCAAGGTACTGATGATAGATGAAAATTTGAAAATATGGCGAAAGTAATTAAAAAATACATATAACAGTAGTACCCCTATTTACGCGGTCAATTGAACCCACAGGGTACCGCGGAAAGTGAACAACAGAACATATGGGATTAATTCCAATAGAGACTGGCCCGACCCCCAAACTCCACTTTTTCCTGACACAATACCTATGTTGTAGTAAAAATAACATCTAAATTTTATGATGGTATGCTCACACAATTAATATTTAAGAGAAATACAGTCGCCAGGTTAATGTCCATTCAAATAATGGACTCAAATCCCCCCCCCCCCTCTTCCCAGCTCACTAGCTCCTACCTCTCTGATTAATGTTTGGGTGAAAACTCTAGATTTTAACGTTTAGTAATAAATAATACCTCAGACTAAAGTTAGGATAATATAATTGACATTTCTGGATTCCTTGCAGGTCAGGGAATATTTTAATGTAAACTTCATATATTTTGCACAAAAGATAAAATATTTGCTTTGTGTAAACCAAATTATTACTTTAGATCTAAAATTTGTATGTCTAATGCAAAATCCATGATGTTTATATTCAAGATGATCATCGTATTGTAAGAATTCCAGCAATGTAAATTATATTCTGGCCGGGTAATTTGTATGAATTTTATGAGCTAAAACATATATCTTCAGTAAATAAACAAAGAAATATTCTTCAAGGACACTATCTGTCAATCAAAATACTCCGCCCTAGCTGAATCGGTCCCTCCCTCCCTCCCTCCCTCCCTACCAGAGAAGCGATTGGGAGAAAATAGTATACAGTCGGCCCTTAACATACGCGGGTTTATAATACACGGATTTGCAAATACGCGTATTGCCCCGCTGGAGGAATATTCTGTACATTGAAGTAATTGAAGTACATTCAAATCGCGCTCCATTCAACTCGCGCGCGGCACCGAACACGGGACACCGCCCGCTCCCGCAACCTCACACACACACACACACACACACACACACGCATAGCTCTCCCTCACTCAGTCAGTCTCGCTGTAACCACGCTTGTGTTAACATCAGCATTGTAGTTGCAAAAATATTACATTTCTGTGAATGTATTATATCAAGTACAGTATGAATAGAATATCACTAATATAAGATTATTTTAACCGAAAACTACTAAAAAAACGAGTAACATATCTTGAACATCAGAAGGCTAGGTGAAGTCTTTTGTTTTCATGTAGTTTATCCTAATTTACATTGAAATGCATTACGTTTCAGCAAAACTACTATTTATTTCTGAGAATATGGAAATGTAATATTTTGCTGAAATGACGTACGTATTACAGTGGAAAGTGACGAAAGCAATGACTCGCTTTCTTTCGTTCAAAAGATGTTACCATAATCGCTTTTCGAATGGTTTTCAGTTAAAAAACTGTTGTATTACAATAATATTCTATCCTAATTCACTTGTGATGCAACAGTTTTTTAACTGAAAACCATTCAAAAAGCGATTACGGTAACATCTTTTGAACGAAAGAAAGCGAAAGTCACTGTTTTCGTCACTTTCCACTGTAATACGTACGTCATTTCAGCAAAAATATTACATTTCCGTGAATGTAGTACAGTCAATCCTCACATTACGCGGTCCCGCATTCCGCGTTTCACCGTTAACGCGGTGCCTTGCCAGAACCTAACATGCTCACATTCCGCGGTCGTGAACCCCATTACGCGGAGAGCGGCTGGCAAGCCGCGCCATTTTTGGATCCAAACCTCCCGCCATCCGCCATGTTGTGTAAGAGGCGCGAAAATGGTGCGCACAAGGTCGCCCAGTCATCAAAACATTACCGAGTTCTTTACCCGCCACCCACCACAACCGGCCCAAGTCAGTGATAGTGATAATTATAGTGAGGATATGGACTTATATGGACTTTGAGGGGTTTAACAAAGAGGCCCTGCAAGCCTCTGTGGTGGATAGTGATACAATTGATACCAGTGATACAGGTGAGGGCCAATAATCTGCCCTCTGCCTCGGAACCAACCCCCCATCCCCGTGTGCCCAGCCATCTTTTCTACTAATGTAAGTGTTAAAAAACCTAATATTATTGATATTTCTCTTAATTATTAATTGTGTGTGCATGCCATCATAAAGTTAAGATAATATTTTTACTACAACATAGTTGTGTGTCGTCAAAAAGTGGAGTTTGGGGATCGGCCTGGACTCCATTTCAATTAATCCCATATGTTATGTTGTTCACTTTACGCTTTCCTCACTTTCCGCGGTACCCTCCGGGTTACATTAACCGCGTAATGTGAGACCCAACTGTATATCAAGCAAGTATGAATATAATATCATTGTAATATAACAGTATTTTAACCGAAAGCTATTAAAAAAACGAGTAACATCTCTTGAACATTGGAAGGTTAGGTAAAGTCTTTTGTTTTCGTCATGTATTTTATCCTATTTTACATTGAAATACATCACGTTTCAGCAAGACTACTATTTATTTCTGAGAATATATTCATTCAGGCACAGTTTAGGTAAAATATACATGCGCTGTAACATTTTTTTAATTGAAAACGATTCGAAAAACACGTACCCTCTAGCCCTGTTCAAGGAGAAGACTGGGAGCAGCTGTTTGGTGCTTAAGACAATGACAAGGAAAATGATTTTGATGGATTTTAATGAAAATATTCAGAAAGACCCTGGCACTGTCAAGGAAAGTAGCTGCTGAAGGCTTCCAGGACATGGCAGAGGACGAGATTAGGGAGCTAATTGAAGAGCACGACACTGAGCTGACCGAGGAGGATCTACAGGAGTTAGTAGACTCAGGCAAGGAAGAGGAAGCGAAAGGGAAAGAGGATGAGGAAGAGCACCAAGATATAACGTTGGAGAAGTTGGGGGAGATGACCAAGAATATTGAGGCACTGAAAAACCTGGCCTATAGTATGGACCCCTCCATGGTGCGTGCCCTGAAATTCATGCGAGGGATGGATGACGTTTTCGCTCCATACAAAAACATCATGGAAGAAATGAAAGAAAGAGACGACAACTCCCCATCACCATGTTCTTTGATCACCGAAGGAGAGATTAAACACCACTGAAGGAGAGATTTAACACCATCAATCACTGGCGGCAGTGAGGAAGCAGCTGAATCCACCGTCGCCCCCACTTCACCACCCGTTATGGAATTGAGTGACGATGAGCCCGATGACCCCCGTCCTGTCGCCGAGGATAGGTACTGTACAGTAAAGTGAAATTTTTATAGCTTTTTTTTTTAATAGCTTTTCTTGCCATGTTCATTGTTTGTAAAAATGCACAGCACAGTACAGTTCAGTAATGTACATAGGAAGTGGAGGTGCAGTTATTCACAAAACATTTGTGTTCATTGTCGGCAGTAGTGACGGGGAGGAGGCAGAGGAGGTGGAGGAGGTAGAGGAGGGAGCGAGTTGGGAGGAATGGTGACCTTGGATGCAGGAGCAGGGACGAGTGGAGATGCCAGCCAGTACATTACGGGTGTATTAATTGTTTTTATAGCGATTTTTGCATTTTAATATTAAACATTGTACATTATGTTTCAACAAAACTACCATTTAGTTACCATTTATTTCTGAGAACATGGAAATGTAATATTTTTGCTGAAATGATGTACGTATTACAGTGGAAAGTGGGATAAAATTGTGACGAAAGCAATGACTTTCTCTTTCTTTCGTTCAAAAGATGTTACCGTAATCGCTTTTCGAATGGTTTTCAGTTGTGGGATTATAAGGCTAATAATAGGATAGAATATTATTGTAATACAGTACGAGTACAACAGTTTTTTAACTGAAAACCATTCGAAAAGCGATTACGGTAAAACCTTTTGAATAACGAAAGAAAGCGAAAGTCATTGTTTTCGTCTTTCCACTGTAATAAGTACGTCATTCCAGCAAAAATATTATATTTCCATATTTATTTCTGAGAATACCTATATTCATTCAGTCACAGTTAAGGTAAAATATACTTGTGATGTAATATTTTAATGAAAATACGGTATCGTAGTTTTCTTTTGTTTCAAATTTAATTAACAAAGATTGATGTTTCAAATGTAATGAACAAAAATTTATGTACAGTATCTATAAATAAACTTTAATAAATGAATACTTTGTTTTACATCGTCCTGTGCTACCATACCATGGATTTGGCTACTTTGGGTTTGCTATGATGACGCAAGAGGTCTGCCCTGGCAACTGTACCGACACTCACAGCTGGTGGTGAGTTGGTGCATCGTTTCCATTGTTTACTGGTAGTTACTGGTAAATATTTTTCAACCTAACGAAACTATTACCAGTTTAGAGGTCGACCCCCAATTTTTGCCAAATAATTTGGTCTTAAAAACTTGAACTACACACAGGTATATACGGTAAATAAGGACATGGGGGACCAGGTTTTTTTTTGGGGGGGGGGGGCACATATATGCGGAGTTTTAACATCCACGGGTATGTCTGTTACGTAACCCCCGCGTATGTTAAGGGCCGACTGTATTTACATTTTTAGTCATAAATAATAACTCAGACTAAAGTTAGGATAATATAAATGACATTTCTGGATTCCTTGAAGGTCAGGGAATATTTTGAATGTAAACTTCATATATTCTGCACAAAGGATAAAATATTTGCTTTGTGTAAACCAAATTATTGCATTAGATCTAAAATTTGTATGTCTAATGCAAAATCCATGATGTTTATATTCAAAATGATCATCATATTGTAAGAATTCCAGCAATGTAAATTATATTCTTGCCGGGTAATTTGTATGAATTTTATACTTCACCGCGTATATGAGTAGATGCACCGCGGAAAGTGAAAGTCTGGTTCTGGCAAGGTACCGCGTAAATGAGAAATCGCGGAAAGTTAAACCGTGTAAAGCAGGGTATTACTGTATATAGAATAAAGATGTTGAACTGGGATGTATGTTTCAGTATGGTAATGTAAGTTAAACTATTACCTTAGATGTTTTGTGAGAATAATCAGTCAATGAGAACCCAGGTTTATATTCTCGCCCAATAAGAAAGTTGCTTGCTATGTAACACACTATTTTCATTCAGTAAAATCTTGTTACAAACAATATTTGAATAAATGCAGATATTGAACGCTAATAGTTATTGGAGAGTGAGAATCCAGTACAGAGCTTCGTAAGTAATAAAATATAAAGAAAATGGGAAGTTAAACAGCGAGTTCCAACCAATCGAAGCCGACATCGAAGCAAGACGTGTGCCTCCTGCCGGTCAAGGTCGAAGGAAGTGAGTCGTTCTTAAACCATCATAGCAGATGTGTCTATGAGTGTGTACCCTGGGAAGACCGTGCTCACCTCAATTTATTTCAACACATTACGGAGACGTTGACTGATTCGCTGATCGTTTTGGCTTACACTAAACTCACGTCATCATCCCGAAATCAATTATTATTAAAATCTGACATAATCATTTGGTTAGCCCATTGCTTACCAAAACCAAATGTCTTACTGCTTACATCTCTTACTCTTTTCTGTATACATTATTCTTGTCCTATTTTCTATTCGTTTGATGAACCAATATAGATATGACCACCATTGTTCCATCTATCCAATGATGATTGGAGCCTAAAGAAGCCAAGTAACATAAAATATGGTGATTAACAATTCACAATTGGAGTACAGTTCAATACTTAATATACCAATAATATAGAATATCATAATTTTCTGGTGTTGCTTTCCAGTGCCTACAATTTTAACTGTTAAGTCAGTAGTATTTGAAGATGGTGTACTGTGCTATCATAGAATTATCCACAGAAAGGGTTAACAGGAAAAAAAGAAAAGCAAGGGAAAGAAAGGTAATGAGAAGCAGAAAACCGAAACTATGAGTTGAAAACAACAATAACACCTCACAGCTTAGCCCAGTAGCATGGTGGTTACAGTGACAAGTCTAACCTGGCTACAATGCCATGATTTATCACTATTAAGCACTTAAGTATTAGTAAACTCTAATAATAACAGCAAATCCAATGAAATATGGCAGGGAGGAGCGACAAGTTACAACAGCAGCCGACGCACTAACTAGCAAACGCAATCACTCACTCCCCTTACTGCTCCCATTGCCAGGCGTACATATAGGAGAAATATATATCTTGTATAGTCTAATTTCAAAATAGTGAAGGGCACAGTAATAAACAAATTATATAAACCATGCACGATAACATAATAAGAAACATTGTAGGGGTTCCTAGTTCAGTTGTCACATCTATACAAATTTATTAAGAGACAAGAAATTGGTATGCTTGTGATGAGAAAATATATAATGACAGATCAATGCTCTTGCCAACAAAAAAGTTAATATGAGTCCAGTATCAAAGCATTACGTACTTACATTTTTAGTAAAAATGGCAAATAGTGGTTCAAATGCATGATGGTGAGGATTGGTTGGCCAGTCATCCAAGCTTCTGTCAGTCTATTTGCGATGGCCACAGCATATAGATGAGCACAGCGCTCAGCAGACATTCTTTTGCCAATGCGCTCTTGTCCAAATTGCTGTAATAGAGTAAATATAATCAAACTTCTTGAACTTCTTTACCAACCTTTTATGCACCTTTCTGTTAAGCATCATGCACTACACATTGGACTGGACTGGAGTGATTGTGGTACAGTGAGTTCTGCTATAACGCGTGTTTTGATAACGCGAATTTGCTCTAACGCGATTTATGAATTCGGAACAATATTTGTATAACGCGATCGCTTGTTTGCTATAACGAGATTTTTGCTTACTATTTCTCCAATTTTGTGGTATTAACTGTGAATATGGTAAAGAAGAATATCTCCAAAAAGCATTCTGATGATAGAATTCCCGGTGATTATCGTAAAAGAAAGGATATAACACTTGAAGAGAAGCTTGATGTTATCAACCTCAAAATCACCCTTCTCCCCCATCAAGTTACATTTCATATTTTTTCAAGGTAAAGTGTTAAATTTACTGTATGATTTCATTATTAGATATGAATGTAACATTTATTTAGACTGTGCTATCCTTTGTGTTAGGCTAACTACTAAATTTTTTCGATTTCGAGTAAACTGCACCTAACCCTATTTTCTCCATAAGCCCTGTTATTTCTATTACGCGATTTTCTATAACACGATATTTTACAAGAACACAATTATCGCGTTATAGCAGAACTACCTGTAGTTACATTCCTAGCGATGCAGCAGCTCAGGTCATATGTCGCTGAATTAAAATACAGTATTCCATTAAAGCTCGTGAGGGTTTCTACAGTCTTTATCGCTCCCCTCCCTGCCTTAGGGAGTGAGGGGGGATGTTAGGGAGAGGGTGATGCATGGTGCCATTGTTACATGTAATAAAATTATAAAAATTGTGTTAACATCATTTCAACTCTCTAATGTGACTTAGAAATAAAGAAAATATAAAATAATATATGTGGAAAAGATTCCCTATTATGAGCTCAACAGCTGATCCAGGCAGTCACACACCACCAACATACAGCCATGCGCCGGTTAACGTCCAACCGAACAACGTCCGATCGCATATATGTCCGTGCCTTAAAAAAAAAAAGTGACGCCTGCTGGACCACCACTCCACGACACCCTGACGGAGACACGATGATCCTCCCCATACTGGCCAGATATTATGTGTTAAAGGAATATCCTTCCTTCCTTAGGCATTTGCCTCCAGGTGTAATGTTACCCTACATCTATTGAGGATAAAATCTTTCACCTACAAATTGACAATAACACATTTGCTGTAATCAGACATATCTAGTTGCCTCAACAATTGCAACTCCAGTTGCAATTGGGGTTGCAATTTCAAATTCTGTGTCATTACTAAGGAATAACGAAGTCTCTGGTGTACTGCACTCTAAGATTAAGAGAAAACGGACACTCAGGCGTCCTGAAATGAGAGAAAACGGACTCCTATGACGGGGCACTCAAATAAAGAGACATGGCTACATGTTTTGTGGACTACCTACTGTACAGTATTGATCGTATATTTTTCATCACTTTGTAATAAACCTAGTCATGCCTCTGTGTGTTTCTGATAATTACCATTACATTATATATTTATATATTTAGCGGTTGTACAAACACAAGGCCTCACACATGCCACTCAGACTGACAAACTTGACAAGTTTTACCAACCATAAAGACAGTTGAAGCTTTAAACATCACTCACAATGGATCTTGAGTATTCCAATTGTAATCAGACATACCTAAGTTGCCTCAACAATTGCAACCTTGGTTGCAATATCAAATTCTGTCATTACTAAGGAATAACAAAGTCTCTGGTGCACTGCACTCTAAGATTAAGAGAAAACGGACGACTCAGGTGTCCTGAAGTGAGAGAACACGGACTCCTTTGACGGGGCACTCAAATAGAGAGAGACATAGCTACATGTTTTGTGGACTACCCACTTTACAGTATCCTTTTCATCACTTTGTAATAAACCTAGCCATGCCTATGTGTGCTTATGATATTTACCATGACATTTCAGTTAACCCTCACTTTACGCGGTTAATGTAACCCGGAGGGTACCGCGGAAAGCGAGAAACGCGTAAAGTGAATAACATAACATATGGGATTAATTGAAATGGAGTCCAGGCCCATCCCCAAACTCCACTTTTTGACGACACATAACTATGTTGTAGTAAAAATAACATCTTAATTTTATGATGGTACATGCACACAATTAATACTTAAGAGAAATAGAGAAATACAGTCGCCAAGTTAATGTCCATTCAAATAATGGACACGACTCCCTCCCCCTCTCACACTACACTGCCGGCTCTTCCCTCTCTGAGAAATTTTGGGGGGAAAACCAGGTATAGTAATAAATAATACCTCAAACTAAAGTTAGGATAATATAATTGACATTGCTGGATTCCTTGTAAGACCAGGAATATTTTGAATATAAATGTCATATATTTTTCACAAAAGATAACATACTTACTCAGATTAAACATTTTATCTAAAAATTTTATGTCTAATGCAAAATATATGATGTTTATATTCAAAATGATCACCAAATTGTAAGAATTCCAGCAATGTAAATTATATTCTGGCCGGGTAATTTGTATGAATTTTATGAGCTAAAATAAAAATCTTCAGTTAATAAAAAAAAAAAATATTCTTCACACGGTAACAGATGGTCGGTCGCCGGTCCCTCCCTCCCTCCCCCCCACCCCCCACCAACGTCCCTACTAGATAAATGTGTGGGAATACCAGACTGTTTACCTTTTTAGTAATAAATAATAAATCAGACTAAAGTTAGGATAATATAATTGACATTGCTGGATTCCTTGTAAGACCAGGAATATTTTGAATATAAATATCATATATTTTGCACTAAAGATAACATATTTACTCAAGAGTAAACATTATATCTAAAATTTGTATGTCTAATGCAAAATCTATGATGTTTATATTCAAAATGATCATCAAATTGTAAGAATATCAGCAATGTAAATTATATTCTGGCCGGATAATTTGTATGAATTTTATGAGCAAAATTAAAAAAAATTATACTTCACCGTGTAAAGGGGTACACCCACCGCGGAATGTGAGCATCCTGGGTTCTGGCAGGGCACCGCGTAAACGTGGAAACGCGGAATGTGGGACCGCGTAAAGTGAGGGTTGACTGTATAGTATATATATTTAGTGGGTCTAAATGGTCGTAAAATGGGAAACTTAGGGTTGGGTGCCTGGAATCCCCATTAGAATAAATCCCATAGGTTTATGTAATTTCGGACAACGTCCATTTCGGTTAACATTACATTTCCAAGAACGTATCTAGGATGTCAACCGGAGCATGACTGTATAATTGTATAATAATATATATTCTCGTACGATCAGCCTCTTATGGTGTATGTTTTATCATCAATAATATAAAATATTAAATACTGCAATACAATAGAAAAAATACATATAGTAATATCTCCATTAGCCGGAATCCCTCAAACCCGAAACTCTCTGATAGGTCGTCAGAATTGAAATTTTCACTTTAAAGTGTTCCCAAAGCCGGAATTTTCCGGAAAATTCCAGCTTTGGGAAATATTTTCCGAGGGGCACATTTTCCGGAAAATTCAGAGAAAACTTTCCCAATACCCGGAAAATTCCGGGGATGGGGGATTTTTTTTTTCTAGGTTTGAGATGAAAACCAGGTGCATTTTCTGTAAATTCCGAGAAAATTTTTCCATTACAGTACCCGGAAAATTTTTGAAAATTCCGGGGATGAAGGATATTTTTCCGGGTTAGAGAGATGATGTAATGGTCAATTTCTGGAACTTCCAAGAAAATTTTTCCATTACCCGGAAAATTCGGGATGAGGGATTTTTTCTGATTTTGAGGGTACAGTGAGTTCTGCTATAACGCGTGTTTTGATAACGCGAATTTGCTCTAACGCGATTTATGAATTAGGAACGATATTTGTATAACGCGAACGCTTGTTTGCTATAACGTGATTTTTGCTTACTATTTCTCCAATTTTGTGGTACAGTATTAACTGTGAATATAGTAAAGAAGAATATCATCAAGAAGCGTTCTGGTGATAGAATTCCCGGTGATGATCGTAAAAGAAAGGATATAACACTTGAAGAGAAGCTCAATTTTATCAACCTCAAAATCACCCTTCTCCCCCATCAAGTAAAGTGTTACATTTACTGTATGATTTCATTATTAGATATGGATGTAACATTTATTTAGACTGTGCTATCCTTTGTGTTAGGCTAACTACTAAATTTTTTCGATTTCGAGTAATCTGCACCTAACCCTCCATAAGCCCTGTTATTTCTATTACGCGATTTTCTATAACATGATATTTTACAGGAACACAATTATCGCGTTATAGCAGAACTACCTGTAGTCTCGTTTCTCGGAAATCTCTCATTCTCAGAAGTGCCCTGCACCAATTGTTCTGGCGAAACGGAGATATCACTGTATATAATCAGTAATTTGCATAAAAATTAAATGACAAGCCGAATAATAAGGTACAGGTGCTCCCAGACTTACAACGGGGTTAGGGACCCAAATCCAGGTCGTAAGTCCGACATAGATAAAAAAAATAAAAAAAATTAATAAAAAATCGACAATGAAGTACAGTACGTACAGTAAAAGTAATAAATAATGAGGAATAGATACAGTGTGACTGAGCACTTACCTTTAATGTAGTCAGCTGAATGCACACGGGGCCCCCATAATTTTCTAATTATACATGGAGACTACATTAACTGTAAGAAGCAGAGGAGACAGGGCTGGGTGGGTCATCAATGTCGCTTTCTTCAGACAGGTTTATGGACTGTGGAAACTTGCTGGTTGAAGGTATTGGATCATCTTGAGGGAGTGGAGAGGCAGCACTGGTGGGGCGTGAGGAGACAGCACTGGGGGACTTCTTAAAATAAATGTCCAATTTTGACTGCAGTTTGTTTTTTCTTTTCATTATAAATTTCTCTGTAGCAAGCAAGTACATCTTGGATCATTCTCTCAACTTTGGCATAATGCTCATAATTTTGATCCATGCCATCAAACA